GCTGTAGTCCACGAAAGCTTATGCTCTAATAAATTTGTTAGTCTCTAAGGTGCCACAAGTCCTCCTGTTCTTCTTTTAGCTGTGTGGGGCTCCAGGCACTTGCCCAGCTTTCTACCCACTAATGTCACTCTGGCTTTTATAGGCAGAAAACCAGTTGTGATGGCACAGCTGGGCCATGGAGTTTATATAGCATGGGGGGGCTCTAAAAGAAAAAGGTTGAGAGCCCCTGTTATATAGGACCCACACATTGGGCAGAATGGGTCCATATGGGCACCAGGGCAGGGTGTTACAAACCACATAGGGTAGAGGGAGAAGCATTACAGGGCCACATAGGGACTGGGATTCTATGGGCTAGTATAAGGACCTGGCCTATGAGTGCTCTGGGGTTATTTAGGAACTACAGTGGATCATTATGGGGCCATATAGGAACCAGTTCATGAGATGTGATTGGGACTAGGGTGGGGCACCACTGCATTATACAGGGACCACTGTGGGGTGTTACAAAATTATATAGGGGGCTGCACATGCCATATAGGATGTGACAAGGACACAAAGGAACCAGGAAGGATAAGAGTCTTATCACAGCTGCTGTGGCCTCCCCAGTGGGTTTTTAGGCCAGATGCCCACAGCAGTAAATGGCTGAGTCAATGTCTGATGGCCCTACAGTCGCCTCTTGGGGCTTCAGACCTCAGAGGTGAACCCTCAAGGCTGTTTCTGGCAGAGATATTGTTCTGTTCCCTGTCTCTAGCAAATAAACTCACTCACACCAACCTCCCTTAAGGAGGACACAGCCACATCACCTTACCTCTTCCCCCAGAAGTCTCTCAGGGAGATCACTCTTTGTTGTAAGTTCCTTTGCTGGTGCAAAGATCATTCTCCTAGGCCATTACTTTGACTGTGTCACCCCTCTCTGTGCTTCCCTTCATTGGTCTTCCCTTCTCTCCTAGATCAGTCATAAGCTGCTTCTCTTCCCTTTCAAGGCCCTCCATGGCCAATCCCCACCTCACCTATAATCTCTCTCAGGGGTGCTGGAACAATTTGTATAGTAGAGGTGCTGAGAGCCATTGAACCAAATTGTAAACCCTGTACATAATGGAAGCCACTTCAAGCCAGGGGATGCAGCAGCACCCCTAGTTCCAGCACTTGTGATCTCTCATTTAATATAAAGAAGCCGATTCCCATCCCCAATCAGCCTGTACTGGCAGCATCCACTGCTCACTTGTTACATTTGTCAACAGCCCCTTCATCCTTTCTCCCATGCTATCACTTATGTTTGTGAGGAGCTCGCTGTAAATACCCACAGAGCCATCTCATTGTCCTCCTTCAAACTATCCTTTGTTGGGATGCCTGTCACGGAGTCACCGGGGCGATGCTCTGGAACTACTCCGTATGAAGTCAGCCAGGACTCTGGGGGAGCCTCCTCTCTCTGAGCATATTGTCACCAGGGCAAGAAGCTTACACAGCTTCGACCTTCCTGGGTCTAACCTCGGAGCATTCAGCATCCCCTTCCACACCGTGTGCTTCCCGCAGCGAGTCCACCTGGACAGGATTTCTGGGGAAGCCAGAGGGCCCTGCACCCCAACTCCGCAGTCAGATGTGACTCTCGGCCAGCCGGTAAAACAGAAGGTTTATTAGTCAACAGGAACACAGCGTGGGACAGAACTTGTTAGCACAGAAATCAGTGACTTTCAGCGAAGTCCATCTTGGGAGGAGGGGAGCCCAGAGCCAGGGCTCAGGTCCTCCCTCTGTGCCCTAAGCCAGCGGAGACTGACTTGCTTCCAGCTGCCTGGCCCCTGCCCTGCCCGTTGTTCCTCCTCTAGCCTTTGTCTCACTTCCTGGGCCAAGAGTCACCTGATCACATCCCCCTTCTGGTTCTCAAGTTACAAAGGGGCGGCCATAGCATCCGTGCAGACAGCTGGAGCAACTCCCACAAAAGTCACACACCCTTATTCCCGCAACCTAGACATTGGTGCCATATACAGGGAAACTGAAGCACACACAGCATTCATGCAAAACAGTAAGAGTCACATAGGCTCACATACAACATAACAAGGGAAAATCCCCACTATGTCACAATGCCTACAAAAAGCATGATGTTTAGGCTGTTGGTGTTGTGAACCCAGTGCCCAGCATGCAGACCAGGATTGTCTCATTGTTCCTGTCTGGCTGTATCCATCTGTCATTTCTTGATTTATAGATCGTGAGGTAGGTTTTGTGTTTGTACAGTACCTTGCATAATGGGGCCCTGGTCCTGGGCATGCTAAGATAAAAGATTGCCTGTCAACAGCCTCTCTGAGGCTGAACTCCTAATAGAAGGGTGATTAAAAGACAGACCTGGAAAGCCCCCCAAAAGGGGATTAAAGAACCCTGGGGAAACTGAGGCAAGGCAAGCGGTGCCACCGTAAGTGCTACAGAGGCCGACGGTGCCGCACCACCTTAGAGAGATAGGCTCTATTCCCAGCTTTGCTTTAAGTGCCCCTAGCTTCCTACCTGTACAATAGAAAGGATGCTAGTCACCTCCCCTAGCTAGAGGGCTGGGAAGCGGATGGAAATATTAGCAGCAAACAATGGACGAATCTTGAACTCCTGATCCCTGGCTCCCAGCCCCTGAGACGAGTCTCTGTGGCTCCAAGTCAGGTCGCTGTGGGCCCTGGCTGGCTGGCTGCGGTGTCGGGCTCAGGGGCTCCCCCTCTCCCGGGGTTGAGGTTTTAGAAGCAGGGGAGAGTGAGGAGCCGAACCTCGAGGACCCCTCGACACACGCTGCCGGGCCCTCGACTGGCCTCGTGGTGTCACATGACTTCCTCCCATGAGTCCAACTAGCTGCCCAGATGCCTGGGTCAATCCCCCGCCGCCGCCATTTACGCCTCGGTCCCTAACACTAGCCCCGCTGGCTCCTCAGATTCCCTTTCCGAGCCAGGCGAGCGCCGTGAACAGCCCCGGACTGGGGCCTAGCCGAGACCGGAAGGGGTCACTCATACTCCCGGAAGTAATTCTGAACAGGGCCAGAGCCAGACGCTACCGAAGCCGATGTTGAGTGGGCCGGAAGTAACTATGACAGACCGGAAGGGACCCTACGCGATCCCGGAAGTGTCCCGGCGCGGGGAACGGAAGAGAAGGCCGCGCTCCCCGGCGAGCATCCAAGATGGCGGAGGTGGTGAGTGGGGTCTGGAGGGTGGTGTCCGGCAGGGTGGGGGCGGGATTCCCGGGAGTCCCCGCTAACCGCTTTGCATCCCGCCCGCAGGGGGAGGTAACCGAGGGCTGCCGCCTGCCCGTGTTGCGTCGCAACCAGGACAACGAAGACGAATGGCGTAAGTGAGGGGCGGGGCTAACTAGAAGAGGGTGTGGCTTAAAGGGGCGGGGCTAGAGGGTATATAAATACGATGTGAGATAGCTGGAGAAGAGGGGGTGGGACATGTGGGATTATGGTGCTTCCTGTGGAAAGGGAGGGGGGGTCCTAAGGAGGCTATAGGGTTGGGGCCAATGAAGAGATGGGGTGGAGGGAGAGATGGGCCCAATGAGGAGGATTGGAGGAGGGGCCAATAGGGGGCCCTAGTTGGAAGAGGGATAAGGTTGGGATATTTATGGAAGATGGAACGGGGAGTGTGATATACCTATCTCATAGAACTGGAAAGGACCCGGAAAGGTTATCGAGTCCAGTCCCCAGGGGGGCAGTAACTACTTAGAGCTGCGCCCCTCTTTCCTTGTAGAGGCCTTGAACCCAGATTGTGGGGGTGGTTGGTCATCTCAAGACCTTGGCATTCTCCAGGTTTGAGTTTTAGGCTCCCTAGGGAAGGAAATGGCCTGTCATTTTGGAGCTGCCTGCCTATCTCCTGATCACATGGGGTGCCCCAAGTGTGTGGGATAACCACCCCTACTTTAGGTTATGATCGAGGACCCCAGGGCAGCATTTGAAGGCAGGGGCTAGTCACACACTGGGCGGAGGAGACACTGGGTAATACCCAGGGCACTGCCCCAGAATCAGAATGATCTCATGTAACTGTAGAACTGTATTGAGAACCAGAGTTGGCCCGGGTGAGAATGTGTGCTGCAGGGATGCACTAGCCTCTGAGTGGTCCTTGGTACCTATAAACACAGATGATTCCCTGTGCACCGTTCTTCCTACTCAACTTATTATCTCTCATCATATACTTGGACTGTGAGCTCTTTTGAGCAGGGATTGTCTCTCATCGTGCAGTGCCTGGCACAGTGGGGAGACCCCCTGATCCTGGTCTGGGTCTGTCTGTTGTCTGGCACAATGGACCCCGATCTGTGATCAGTCTAGGCCCTATCATGATACAAATAGTGAATAATAAAAAAGATGTAGATAGTAATGCCTTGTACATCCCATCCAGGGATCTCAAAGCTCCATGAAGCCTCAATCCCAGGCAGGTCACTAGTATTATTCTCATTTTATAGATGGAGAAATTGAGGCACAGGGAGGGAAAGAAACTTGTCCATAGTCACATGTCAAATGGCAGAACTAGGGACAGAATCTTTGAGTCTTGACTCCTACTCCTCTGATCTTTCCAGTAGGTTCAGAGATTTTTGAAGGCCATACTCCCCTGTCAGAATTGGCAAGAGAACCAACAAGTCCTGATTCCATGCCTCCGATGCTACAGTTATGGATGGCAGTACAAAGCCCCTTCTCCTCTAAAGATTACTTTTCACTCCCCTCCCAGAGCCAGGAATAGAACTCAAGAGTTCTGACTCCCAGGACCCTCTTTTATCAATATATAATGAATCACACTATTTGTGTATTAATTATGATTTATAATGAATGACATAGACCCACAGAAAATGTTGGCTGTAGTGAAATGCTGCCAGAATTGGGACAAAACCAAGCTCTAGCATGAAAAATGTCTTATTCCAGTGAAATCCAAACGGCATGTGTTTTTCCAAACACACTCCTGTATTAACATGATAACCTCTCATATGTCTATATTGTCACCCTCCCAAGTTCTGCGAAGATTTCTCCTGCCAGATCCAATAGAATCATGTCGGGCATTGCCCTAAATCTGTAACTAACTTGCAGAGGGTATTTTTATTTTATACTCTTCACAGCCTTCCCATTTAAACAATTCCACAAGCATAGGAAAAATTCCACGAGCAGAGGTGTAAAATCTCTTATTTTGCAGTGGAATAACCTGATACGGGGTGGATTCCCCCAATATTTAGAGGATGGGAGGATTCCAAAACTCCTGTTCTTTTTTTCTGTTGACCCTGGACAGTGTCATTATCCTTATAAACCCCCAGTCTCTTTTGGGATCCTGCACTCAGCTGTGTCAAGTGTCAATGACTTCCAGAGGCTGATGGTGTATTACGTGAAAAAGAATGTCCTTTGATCTGTTTTGAAGTTTCTCTGAAATTCCCATTGCTCTTGTGCTACGAGACATGGAGAACAGAGGTTCCCATCCCCATTCTCTATCCCAGTCATTCTTTTATATACTTTTATCGTGTAACATTTTCTTCATCTCCTCTGTAAGACAAACAATCCCAGTCATTTCATCTCTTCCCAGGAGAGTTTCCCCCCTCCCCCCCCCAGGTGCCTATTGCTAACCAATCTCTGAACCCTCCCTTAAATTCTGGTACATCCTTGTTGAGCTGGGGTGACCAAAACTGAACGCAGTGATCTGGATTCCAAGGCTTGGCCATCCATTCTGACCTCCAGCATCACCCAAGCCTGAGAATCCGTCACAGCCATTCCTGCATCCAGCCCAGATCTGGTGTTGAGCTAGAGTGCAGCTTTTAGAAAGAGATGTCTAATCTTGATTTAAAGACTCATTTCCAGACTCATTTCTAGCCTGAATATCCAGCTTCCGGCTGCTGGATCACCTTCTAGCTTTATCTGCTACATTAATGAGCCCTCTACTGTCAAGAATCTTCTCCTCATGTAGCATGGTCCAGTGACCTTTTAACCTTCTCCTGTATAAGCGACATAGATTGCACTCACTGTCAGGCAAGTCTTCCAGACCTCAAATCATTCTTGTAGCTCTATTTCCAATTTTTCAGCTTCCTTTTGAAGTGTGGCCATCTGAACGGGACACAGTATCCAGTAATGCTATTACCTCTGTATATAGCCCATCCCAGCTCCTGCTTGAGATACTCCTGCTTATCCATCCAAGAATTACATTCACCCTTTTAGCTACAGCGTCACACTGGAAGCTCATGTTCAACTGGTTATCTACCATGAACCCTATGTCCTTTTCAGAGTTGCTGCTTTCCACACTACAGTACCCATCTTAAACAGTTCACCTGCTCTCTTAGCTGTGTGACCTTGTGCCTTTTGGACCTATAGTAGTTAAAAGTAATGCCCAAGATGACTAGAACTGAAGGAATTGAATCAAACTCATATACATATTTTTTCTTTTCTTCCCAGATTGTTCACTGTGTGCATTTGACAGCTCAGTGCAGTTTCACTCTTAACTCTCCATAGTCAATTTCTTCACTGCTGAAAAAAATCCCTGATAAGCATCAACATGGGGTTAAGAAGAAAAACCCTTCTAAAAGTGTTTTGAAAGGAATATAAACAATAGCTGGGAGATTGCCCCTGATCCCGCCATGCCCAGCACTTCCCATTGAGTCCTCTAGCATGTTATGGAGTGCAGCATCAGGGACGGAGTGTTTCCTGGGAAACAGTGTCACAAACTGAGATCTTTTCAAAATATGGCAATTTTGAAAAATTGTCAGTTTCTGTCTAAAATATGCTGCCTTCACTACTCATTGTTGGGGTGGTGTTTATATGGAGGCAGTTGGGTCTAGTGGTTAGAGCGGAGGGCTGGGAGTCAGGATTTCTACTCCCTTTCCGCATCCAGGATTGGAAACTAGAACACTAGGGGCCAGGCCACCTGTGTTCTATTCTCCGCTCTGGGAGGGGAGAGGGAGAAGCAGGGGTATGGGGGGCGGAGGGGGGGAGAAAGAGATTTGGGCATGACCCTCCCATCACAGCACCTAACTTCATGCAGCCTGTTGTAACTGTGTTCCCCCCTGCCAATTCCTGGTGTCAAGCAGCCACCCTGTGCATTCTGTTCCTAACTCTGGATCCCTGTGGTGTATAAACATTACAAGGGATGGTTTCTTGCATCTGCTCTGAGTGGAAATTTCCTCTGAAATGCTATTTCCTTCTCCCCCTGCAGCTCTGGCTGAAATCCTCAGTGTTAAGGACATCAGTGGCCGGAAGCTTTTCTATGTGCATTACATTGACTGTGAGTAAACTGGTTGGCCCTCGAATAGGGAGTTCCTCTGGATTCTGGGAAATAGGCTATGGGGTTTTCCTCCAATCTGGACTTATACCATGGGGACTAGCTGGCTCGGGGATGGGGGGGAGGGAGTGCAACACTGGGCCTTTCCCCTCTAGGGGGTGTTGGCTCTGATCCAGCTCAAGGAACTCTAGATCCTTTGAGGTTTCCCATCAGAGTACCATGGCAAGTGGGGTCGGGGACCCAGTAGGTGGTGCGCTTACTTCAGAATCAGAGCTGACCCCACTGCCCAGCAGGACACTGTCCTGTTTGGGGGTCTCCTGTTGCGCGCACACACAGGTGAGGGTGTTGCGTATAGTGGCATAGTTATGAATGTCCTGAGTTCTTGGGCTTGTACTTTCCCTCCTGAAGACCTTTCCCCTCTCATCATAAACCTCACTCATACAAGGAAACCAGGACTCCTGCTTCTGGAGCCGAGACTCTGATGGAGCTAAATGTTTTGGGTCCAAATGGCCAGAGGGTGGTGCTGTTCACCAGTGTGAGGCATTGCTTTCCCCTCTGCAGCTCATCCATCCCTCTCCAGCCTTGGGCAGTCTTAGCACCACTTTTCTGCCTGGGACTGGCTGTCCGCAGGGGCCTCTTTCCTCCTTTCCCATCACCCTAACAGAGAGCACCACTAACCTGGTCTCCCCACCGCCGCAGTTAACAAGCGTCTGGACGAATGGGTGACCCATGACCGGCTGGACCTGAAGAAGATCCAGTTCCCCAAGAAGGAAGCCAAGACTCCCACCAAGAATGGGCTGCCTGGCTCCCGGCCCAGCTCCCCAGAGCGGGAAGTGGTAAGAGGAGCTGGCCATAGGCCAGGGAGGATGCTAGTGCTGCTCTGGGGGATGCTATAGGGAGCGGGCTGGGATGAGAGTGCTGGCCTGGGGATCAGGAGGAGGACATCAGGGATGGTTGGAGGGTCGGGGGATGGGGAGATGTGGACGCTTACCCAGAACAGTGTTCTCCCTGATGGCCCAGACCGTCTCCCTCCAACTGATCCCGACCCAGGGGTTGCAAACATACAGGTCTACAAAGCAGGGATGCTAGAGTACCACTTATCCTAAGAGCAGGGCCCAGCATTGGCCCTAGCACTAAGGCATCGTATCTCTCTGGACCCACGTACTCCTCTCGCTGCCTGGCCCGCGGCGAGCTGGGACAGTGGTGCCACGCCCCCCTCACCTGACCAACATTGCATCCTCTCCCCACTGGGTGTGTTGGTAACTCACCCCCCCCCACCTCCATCTTCATCCCTACTCAGAGGAAGACCTTGGATCTGTCTCTACAACCTGCCTCAACTCCAGCCAGCGGTAAAACCCTCCCCATCCCAGTGCAGATAACGCTCCGCTTTAACCTACCCAAGGAGAGGGAGGCTGTTCCCGGGGAGCCTGACCAACCCCTCTCCTCCAGCTCCTGTGTCCAGCCGAACCATCGGACAACGGTACGCACCGGCGCCGGGGATACCTCCCCCACCTCGTGTCCTCAGCATGGTCTGGGCATGGCCACAGGCTGGGATCGCGCCAGGTCATACAAGCTGGCCGGGGTCGGGCTGGGTCTGGGCTTGCATGGGAGAACCCCAAGGCATGGTGCTGGGGATTCACTAGGGGGTATTCTCCCCCCATCCAGAGCTCACTGTCCTTCATATCATGATGCTAGAGGGCTGTGCGCTGCTGGCAGTGGGGGTCCAATAGAGGCACTTTTCCCGCACAGTTAGTGTGAAGCTAGAGGGTGCTGTGAGACCTCAGTCAAACGATGCAGATAAGGAACCACTCTTGGTCATTAAAGATCTCTCGGCCCTTCCCTCAGAATCTTGGTGTGAACCAGGGTGTCCTAGCCAAATCAGAGCTTGGACCGTTACTTTCTGCCTCCCTAGAACTTCATGCAGTTTTAGCTGGAAAAGAGATTTTTATCCTCCTGCTCTACACTGTCATGCACTGTTAAACAGCCCTCACACCCCACCCCAGAGGGGGGAAGTCTCTTAGCACCAGGCCAGGGATCTCTGTATAAACAACCCTGTGCCCCACCCCAGAGGCAGCTGCAAGTCAGTGCTGGGTGAGGGATCCCCATATAAACAGCCTAGAAAGGTTTTTTTGAGATTACAAGATACTGTGATGCCCGTACATCTGCAGATGAGAAGCTGCCCCCGCGGGGGATGCTGTGCAGGGGCGGACGACTGTGAAGCTTTGCAATATCCCATGTGGATGAACCATTTTTTGGGTCTGTTTCAGAAGCGGAAGGTGGAGGTGGTTTCCCCAGCAACCCCCGTCCCTGCTTCCACAGAGACCACTCAAGCCTCTGTTTTCCCCCAGGTAAGAGCAGAGGGGTTGATGGGCTGTACAGGGGTGAGGGGTATTTCCATCACAGGGAGAGCTCTGGGCATTGTTCCTTGCTCCTTCCTGCCCAGGGCTGGGTGTAGGCCCAGGCACAATTACCCTGAGACCAGCGCCTGAGCTCCTGGAGTTCTGTGATCAGGGCAAAATCACAGCTTCTCACCCTCATGCTTGGGGAGAAAATGTAACCCAAATGCAACCAATACAGCAATGCCTGAGTCTGCAGAGAGCCTGAGCCAATCCCTCCAAGATAGAGCTGCTCTGGGCATCTCCAAAGGGTGTTAACCCCCAGCCCCACTGCTTAGTGGACTCAGTAAGGTGCTCTGTGTGGAACAGAAAGGGTTCAGCCCCAGTGGAGATGACACCCGCCTGCCTGCTGGGGGAAGTTCTGATGGGTCCTCATGCTTCCAGCCCTGACTCCTTGGCTGCCGGTGGGGCCAGGGCCTGCCTTGTGGTGTCAGATTGCCTTAAAACTGCCTTGTTCCTAGCTTCATCCCACTGGTCAGGTGATGATGGAGGCGGAGCCCCTCCCTGTGCTGCTGCCAGGAAATGGCTGATCCCTCCTCCCACCCATGGCCTGTACATAACACCCCTCTCACCTTCTCTTCCAGAACGGCTCAGCCAGGAGAGCAGTGGCTGCCCAGCCTGGCAGGAAGAGGAAATCCAACTGCCTGGGCACAGATGAGGTAAACTCTGCCCTGGCTTGAATGGAGGGATGGGGTGTTAGCTGCCCCCAGCCAGGGAAACCACCAGCCATAGCCAGCAGTGGAGGAGCTCTCTCAGGTTCCCAGGGCAGCAGGCAGGGATCCACTCCATGAGTGATTAGTGGGGTCCCTCCAGGATTTGGCCTGGAGCAGCCGCTGATGGGAACTTTATCTCCCCAGCTCTCTGCTAGCCCCTGCCCCTTTCCCTGGGGGAGATGCTGCTGGCGCAAGGAGCAGCCCTGAGCCCCAGTACAGGTGAAGTCATAGCCTGCCCAAGGCCGAGGCTGCAGCACCATCAGGGTTGGGTGTGGTGGGTGGGGAGAAGTGGGGTGGGGGATCTCCCAGGCCCATTCTCTCGGACCTGGAAGCCCTGCAGGATCTGGGAGAGGAGCCAGGATTCCTTTCTATGCCACCATGCACACACCATCAGCAGCCAGCCCTTGGGTTCTGGAGGCCCTTGGGAAGGGCACAGGGAGGCCTGATTTGAGACCGAGTTGGGGGCGGGGCCCAGAGACGAGGGGTTAGGAGGGCATGTCCAGCAGTTCCTGACCCTGCCTCTGTGCCGCCTGCAGGACTCTCAGGACAGCTCTGATGGCATCCCCTCGGCCCCGCGCATGACGGGCAGCCTCGTGTCGGACCGCAGCCACGACGACATCATCACACGCATGAAGAACATAGAATGCATCGAGCTGGGCCGGCACCGCCTGAAGCCCTGGTACTTCTCACCCTACCCGCAGGAGCTCACCACCCTGCCCGTGCTGTACCTCTGCGAGTTCTGCCTCAAATACGTCAAGAGCCTCAAGTGCCTGCAGAGGCACCTAGTACGTATCACCCTCCCCGTGCCCCTGCATGGCCCCCGGCAGGCACAGCCTTGACTCCATGATCCCAGGGCTTCTGCCCCTGAGTGTGTTCCCTAGTGTGGCACTAGGGGCTCTGGCCTGCAGGGAGCAGGATGGGTGACTCAGTAGGGGCTGCATTTCCCTCCAAGTTGGTGCTGACCCCGGCCCCACTTGGCACCAGGCAAGGGATACCTGTATAAACAGCCCCCTTTGCCCCACCCCAGAGGATGTTGCATCTCAGTGCGGGGTGAGGAGTCCTGTAGCTGTATAATTCTCTAATCCTAGTTCTACCAGCTGGAAGGAGAGGGAGAGGCAGACTCGATCTCTGGGGGGGGTTACTCTTCGGCTCCAAGTAGCCTGTTAGCCGCTCCCCTGAACTCTGCTAGATGCATCCAGTTCTTTCCCTCTCCCCTTGGAACTCAGCCCCTCTGGCCCTCAATCATTGGTGTCATTCTGCAATCGAGGTGCCCCATGTGCAAGGTGCAGTGTCTGACTGCTTGCATGGGATTCTCTCTCCCACAGACTAAGTGCGACCTGCGGCACCCGCCTGGGAATGAAATCTACCGCAAAGGCACCATCTCCTTCTTTGAGATCGATGGGCGCAAGAACAAGGCAAGGGGCAGACCTGGGGCAGCAGGTCCCTTCACTAGGGAACGGCTGGGGTGGGGCTCTCTGTTCCACCTTTAACCCTTAGGAGACTGCCTGATTCCAGGGTCTGGGAGCCTGGGTGTGTGACAGGGATGTCTGGCTGTGGGAATGGGTTTAAGTGGCTACAATAGAGAGGGGCTGGGAGTCAGGACTCCTGGGTTCATTCCCAGCCCAACTGATGGCTCTCTGGGTAACCTGGGGAAGTTCCTTCCCATCTCTGTGCCTCGGTTTCCCCTGTAAGGGATTCTGTCACACTCTCCTCCTCCATAGAATCATAGAAATATAGGGCTGAAAGAGGCCTCAAGAGGTCATCTAGCGCAGTCCCTGTGCTAAGGCAGGACCAATAAACCTAGATCATCCCTGACAGCTGTTTGTCTAACAACCTGTCTTAAAAACTTCCAGTGACTGGGATTTTACAACCTCCCTTGGAAACCTATTCTAATACTTAACTAGAAGTGTGGCATCCAAATCTGGACACAGTTCTCCAGCTGAGACCTCACCAGTGCTGAGTAGAACGGGACCTCCCACATCTCACATACGACACTCCGGTTAATACACCCCAAAATGACATTAGCCTTTTCTGCAACTGCATCACATTGTTGACTCATACTAACCCCCCGATTCTTTTCAGCAGGACTACCACTAAGTGCGGTACTTTGCACTTGTCTTTATTGAAATTCATTTTGTTGATTTCAGACCAATTCTCCCAATGTATCAAGATCATTCTGAATTCTAAACCTATCCTCCAAAGTGCTTGCAACCTCTCCCAGCTTGTTGTCACCTGCAAATTTTATAAGCTTAGTCTCCACTCCAATATCTAAAGTCATTAATGACAGTATTGAATAGTACTGGACCCAGGACTGATGCCTATGGCATCCTACTAGGTTCGCCCTCCCAGTTTGACAGTGAACCATTGATAACTACCCCTTGAGTACGGTCTTTTAACTAGTTGTGCACCCACCATATAGTAACTTTATCTAGACCAGAGCCAGTCCTTGAGATCTCCCTGACACAGGTTAGGAAGGCTGCAAGCTGGTCCCTGGTATCAAAAAGGTTGAGAAACACTGAGACCACATTTCTCTAGTATCAGAGGGGTAACTGTGTTAAAGACTAACAGATTTATCTGGGCATAAAAAACCCCACTTCTTCAGATTTTGTGTGGGGTTTTACTCACGAAAGCTTATGCCTAAATAAATCTGTTGGTCTTTAAGGTGCCACCGGACTCCTCGTCACATTTCTCTAGTTTGATTATGACAGCGTCCTGGGCAACGTGGGACTTTAGTACTGTGGCCTGAGCCAGTCTGATGAAGCGGGCTGGAGAAGGTCTGAGTGCAGATCCCCGTTGGGCCAGGGGCTGGTAACTAGAGCTGGGGCCCTCCCCAGCAGCCCCCTGAAGCTAGCTGACACACACACACACATATCCTGGCAGTAGAGTGAGGATGTTAACGGTTCCGGCTTATGCTGTCCCTGCAGAGCTACTCACAGAACCTCTGCCTGCTGGCGAAGTGCTTCCTGGACCACAAGACCCTGTACTATGACACTGACCCCTTCCTCTTCTACGTCATGACAGAGTATGACTGCAAGGGCTTCCACATTGTGGGCTATTTCTCCAAGGTGAGGGGTACTGCCCTGTGCTCCCCGCTCCCTGGATGGGACCCTCCATCCCTGCTCCTGTCACGGCCCTTGCTCTCCCACTGTTCTCTGGCCAGTCAGAGCAGGTCACTGTGGTATAATAGGAATCCCCTGGGCTGGCCCCAGTGCCTGATGAGAAGCGAGCCTCCCCATGGAGATGCCTGAAGGGTCATTGAAGCTAGGGAGCATCTGAGACACTAGCTGTTGGTCAGGGAATCGCTGTGCCTTGTCACAGCCACTCCCCCATTGACCAGGCTCTGTCTGTGGCTATCTGGAATGAGGGGGAAGGGGCTGCTGTGACCATGCATGGGAACTTGTGGTTGGGGTGAGGGAGGGGACTGGTGTGGCTGTGGCTATAGGTGGGGATTGAAGGCCCAGATAATGTGGTCATGGCCCCAATCTGTGGCAGGGGGCTATCGTGGCCTGTGAGAGGATCCATGGGAGGGTGTGTGAGAGCAGGAATCTGTGGCCAGGGTCAGGATTTGTGGAAGGAGGCATGAGCGGGAATTCATGTAGGGGCTGCAGTGGATGAGGCCAGAACTCATGGTACAAGGCATGGGGATCTGTGGCAGTCTTGATGGTAGGGGAGTCACTGGAACACCCAGCATCAAAGCAATCTGCAGCCACTGGCTGAGGTGTGAATCCTTTGCTGTTTGCCGTAGGAGAAGGAGTCAACAGAAGACTACAATGTGGCCTGCATCTTGACCCTGCCCCCATACCAGAGGCGAGGCTATGGCAAGCTGCTCATTGAATTCAGTAAGTGGCATCTTCCCACCCCAGCTCCCTCCCCTGATCTCCATCTCCCTCACCCCATCTCCTCCCACTCCCCTGGCAGGCTACGAGCTCTCCAAGGTGGAAGGGAAGACAGGGACGCCAGAGAAGCCACTCTCAGACCTCGGGCTCCTCTCCTACCGCAGCTACTGGTCCCAGACCATCCTGGAGATCCTCATGAACCTGAAGTCTGAGAACGGGGAGCGCCCACAGATCACCATCAAGTGAGTGCCCCGCCCACAATCCCAAACTCCACCCTCAATCCCAGAGCAGAGGATTCTGCACCAATAATCAGTGACAGGGAACACAGACCCAGTTGTCATTAGGAGTCAGAGTTAACACTTCATGGAGGGCTGCTTCAAAATCATTCCCTCGACTGTGATTCCAGGGCTGGTCGCAGACAGAATGGCCTCAGGGCACATGGGGAAGGTGCCATTGGCTGCTGTGCACTCCCACCCCCAGGTCACTGCCTTCCACCCCTTCATGTCTTCCATTGCCTTTCAGTGAAATCAGTGAGATCACCAGCATCAAGAAGGAGGATGTGATCTCCACGCTGCAGTACCTGAACCTCATCAATTACTACAAGGTAGCCACCCTGGGGGGAATGCTCTGGAGTGAGATTCCTAGTGGTACCCAAGAGGGGCAAGTGGCTTCCTTGTATATGTCACTAGCATGGAGAGATACCAAGGCATTGGGGTAGCTGAATTAAGGGGGGGTGGGAGGCAGGACTCCTGAGGTCTGTCCCTGGCTCTGGGAGACAGGGGATGCTGATTGGGCTGCCACATAGGACCAAAACACATCAATGGAGACAAGCAGCTAGGTTGGCTCAGGTCCCTTCAGTAATTTTCTCAGGGACCCTGACAAGACATTTCTCTTGAACCCCATCGCTGACTTGGGCCCCTGCTGTCTCCCTTAAAGGGCCAGTACATTCTGACGCTCTCAGAGGACATAGTGGACGGGCACGAACGGGCGATGCTGAAGCGGATCCTGCGCATTGACTCCAAGTGTCTGCACTTCACACCCAAGGACTGGAGCAAGAGGGGCAAGTGGTGAGAGGCAGGGCCTTATCTGCCACCCACTCCCCCATGGCCCTGGCATGGGGCCTCACAGACATCCAGCTAACATGCAGCTCCTGGGAGTTTATCCCAGGGCCGGGACAGACTGGGCAACAGCATCTCCAAGGATGATCATGTGCTCTGCCACAGGGCTAGGCTGGGGCTGCATCGTTCTCCGGCCATGGCTCGAGCTCCATGGGAAGGGGCAGAGGCCCCCATGCTGCTCTCCTCGTCTCAGCGCCAGGGTGAGGGCCCCCTTTGTGTGTAGGACTTGCATCTTGCCAGGCCACCTTGTACAGTGTGGGCTGTGACCGAGGAGCCCAAAGGCTGAGAATAGGTGGCCCTGGGCCCACAGCAGCTGGCCAGCATTTGCATTTCTCTGTCACTCGATCTGAGTTTTTGATAAAGATCCTGGAACTAAAATGATTGATCCTGGACCTTTTTAATCAGCTAGAGAAGGATGAGGGGTGCTCAGGCGGCATTATCCTCCCCAGGGCTGTGCAATACCCTGAGCAGCATCAGGCCTCAACTCCCAGGGATTCTGGGGGGCAGCCACTTCTTCCACTAGTGAGCAGTGTCCCTGCCAACAGCAGCTGCTATGTGTCACCCCAGAGCCAGCTGCAGCACTCCCTGTGCAATGAACACACCCAAACCCTGGAAGGGTGCAGGCTGCCTGAAGCTGTGGCCAAACGCAAGTTTAGGACCTCAAAGCTGCTATGCTCCCCCTGCCCCCGTAGCACATTTCTCTCTCCCTGGGAGCAGCAGTTACAGCAGGATCTGGAACCAGATGTCCCTCAGTGCCCCGGGCGGCAGCACTGAGCAATGGACAGGTGATGGGCTGATTGCCATTGGGCCAAGACACTTAGGGCTGAGCACTAAACACTTCTCTGGCAGACTCATGGTGCTGATCCCTGTCCCACTACTTCGGCCAAGCCTCTGGGCCTGACTAGCCCTGCCCTCCACTCCCCTCCAGGTCTGGCCACAGGCCCACCTGCAAACAGCAGCTACGCAGCGGAGTTAGGCCCTGCTAACAGGGTGCTCCCCCCCATAAAGTAACAATACTGAATATTCCCTTGGCAAGAATGGTTCTGGGCAGGGACCCGCATCGTGCCAAAGCGTGTGGCAACCTGGAGAGAGGGGAAGAGAGAAGAAGCTGCAAGCACAACCCTGCTGCCCTGTCCTGCCTCTAGGTGGTCAGTCCTGTCAGGGTCTCTTGAAGGTGCTAGCACTTTTCCCTGCCTTATTCAGAGGGGGAAATGGAGGCACAGCAGGGAGGAGGGGGAAAAGAACCCAGGAGCCCTGGCTCCTGCATTAGAGTCCTTCCTGGGTAGCATGAGACATCTAGGGAGAATCATGGCCAAGTAGTTTGAAGAGTGGTTGGGAGTCAGGACAGCTGGGTTCTATCCCACTCAGCTGCTGGGACTTAGGCCAGACTTCAACAAGCCTCAGTTTTGCCCTGTACCGGATGTTGAAGCTGCCTGTCCCAGGGACCTGAGGGATCAGTGTTTGCAGCATAAAGTCCATAGCACTCAGCCTTCCCATCCCCGATCTCCAGAGCAGAGGGCAGCCAGCCAGCCGTGGACCAGGGGAGATGCTGTCCCACCTGTTTCCAGGTGCTGGCTCAGTGAACTCTGGAATCAGACCAAGCAGGCATCTCTGTGAGATCCGTGTATTCTCAGCATGGAGCTACCACGCAGGGTGGTGGGGCCAAAAAAAACCCCAGCGCAGACCCGAGAGGCAGCCAGTGGCTAGCAGTCCTGGGACCGCTGCCTCCACCATGGACTCACTGTTCCTTCCTCGACACTGGTGCATGGATCTGCAATGAGAGAGGTGACCTGTCAAAAGTCACCTGCACCCATAGGACTCCAGCCCTGAAGGGATAGCAATACAGGAACAGCTGCTGCGGTTAGGTGTAGCACAGTACTGCCTAGAGGCCCTGACAAAGTGGGGAGGTCTGCCATTGTACCAGCCACTACACTGCTCCCCCGCACTGAGACTGGGGCTCCTGTTGGGCCAAGCATTGCACAAACACCCCATGAGACTCATTGCTTTATGAAGCTCTGTCATAATCAACAGAGTGGAGGGGAAACTGAGGCACAGATGGGGCCAAGGGCAGGCGTTCTGAGCCCCAGTCCTGCATGGCAATTACTTTGCCTTTTCCACTTTCCCCACAACGGGGTAGTGCCCGCCAGGCTGGGCAAAATGTTTTGGACAGCATTTTCCATTTGCCCACGAAAACACAGCCACCCCTTGCAGGCCAAGACAGCCTCAGCACTCTGCCAGGCCTGGAGGCATTCCCCCTATTCACAGCTGCTGAGGTACCGGGGATATATTATGGGGCAGGGGCATGGCTGGGTGTCCACGGAGGGTATATATTATGGGCTATAGTTATTTCATCCCAGAGTATTTGACTCACTCTGAGGGGACCAATCATTATGGCATTTACCAGGCCCCATCCACACAGCCAGCCCCCCTTCACTAACAGAGTGTGTAGGTGAATGCAGGGGGATTGTAGCATGTAATGATTGCCTCACCACTAGCAACTCAAGGGATACTGGGCGAACCACAGAACCAGCCTGATAATTGGATGGGGCAGGGCTGAGAACATAGCTGTTCATTGCTATAATGGACCAAACACAGAGCTAGTGTAAGAGTCTTTGTGGAATGGGGGGGATCTTGCCCCCCATCCCTTTGAAGTTGCTGTGGCAGCAAGACCAGGCCCTAACACACACCACCAGCCCCCCCCCCCCCCAACCGTTCTGGGGTAGGGGTAACGGAGAGGAGAGCAGCACACCAGTACTTACGGCCTCGGCGATCCCTGGCCAGCTCAGAGCCAGGAGCAGCCCATCATCCGCACTTGGAGCCCGCTCCAGGTTCCAAACTGTCAGCGTCCCAAAGGTTGATTTCAGCCGCACAGTCCGCTCCTGCAGCACGGGAGGCTGGGCGTCAGGGAGGGGGATAGGCAGTGGGACTGAGGGGGCTCCCAGCCAGCTCCAAGGCACACCTCCCTTTAGCGTGAGGGTTAACACTACGCTGTTCCCAGCTCTGATGGCCTTGTCCCCAAAGGGGTAACACCACCCCTCCCACCCAGCCCCAAAGAGGGCATGTGTCCCCAGAAGCTACCAGTGCCCCCTCCTGCTGGATCCCAACCCAAGGCAAGACCATGGGGCCAGCCCCACAGCCTTCCCCCAGGCAGGTGCTAGCATCACAGGGCTGCTTCTCCCCTATCCACCCCACCGCCACAGGGCTCACCTCCTCCTCTGTGCAGGGCCTTTGATCCTCCTTCAGAACCAGCCCCACATAACCTTGGGGCACTATCACCTCCTGCCCCTTGAGGCTCCTGCCACGGAAGGATACAGATTTCTCTGTGGGAGAGAGACCGACACTGAGCTGGGGAGACAGAGGAACCTGGCCAGGGGATGCACTCGACTGAGAAATGGGCACAGCAACCCAAGTTCCATGCAGGGGTCCTGGGGTCTATGCTGACTGAGGGGAGAACACCCCTTACGGTGGCCCCATCCCATCCCTGCAGCAGCACAGCGCCTCCTAAGGTCAGCACTGACTAAGGGGTGGGAGCCCCCATCCTGCTCCCTGCAGCACATCATCCCCTGGCAAGTATGGAGGGAGTCACCAACCCTGCGAGCCTTGGCGGATGGCCGGGGTGAAGTATCTGGCCACAGGGGCGCTGCCGTTGTGCTCCACCTCGCAGGGCAGCAGGTGTAAGACATCTTGGGGCGCCTCCCGCAGGGAGCTCAGGTCCAGCCGAATGGGGCTGCTGCTCTCAGACATCTTGCTCCAGAGGCAGGCACTGCTCAGCTGGGGCCTGGCGAGAGAGACAGCGAGAGGGGGAGGGTTGTGGGGGCAGTTCCTGACCAGGGCGCCTCATCCCTTGCGGGGGGGGGGCAGTTCATGACCAGCGATCTTCATCCCTTGCGGGGAGGGCGAGGGGGGCAGTTCCTGACCAGGGCGCCTCATCCCTTACGGGGGGGGGGAGTTTCTGGGGCGCCAGGGGAGGAGCCTTGTCAGGAATCCGCATCCCCACGTGGGCAGGACCCTGCCCGGGATGGGGCAGTAGTAAGGGGTGGGGGGGTCTCCGGGCTCGGTTCGTGCTGGGCGCGTCCACTTCCGCCGGCTCTCCCAGCCTGGAGCCCCGCTCACCTGCTGCCCTCACCGAGAGTCCCGCGCACAGCAGGGGAACGGGAAGACACCGACGGGAATGCCTTCGCACCGCACGCCTCTCCCAGTGCATGCTGGGGAGTGTAGTCCTGAGGCCAGTGCATGCCACAGGAGGCAAACCGCGCCCCCGATGCATGATGGGAGTGGTAGTCCCGCCCCGATGCATGATGGGCGCGGTAGTTTCCACCCTGAGTGAAACCCCTCCCTCCGATCATGCGGGAAGATGGAGAAGCAGTCTCTGGAGCGAGCGCCTCCCTTCCCCGCGCTGACCCACGTGCGAGAGCAGGGCCTGGCCGGCTGGCTGGCTCGGGGCAGGGATAGGACACTGGGTTGCATTCAGAGCGGGGTTGCCCGCTGGAGGGAGCCGTGCAGGGGGAGCTGCCGGCTGGCCTGTGTTTTTGTACCAGAGGGAACGACCTGGGCACCGCGTTTCAAGAAAGATGTGGAGAAATTGGAACGGGTCCAGGGAAGAGCAACAAGAATGATTAAAGGTCTTGAGAACATGACCTAGGAAGGAAGGCTGAAAGAACTGGGTTTGTTTAGTTTGGAAAAGAGAAGACTGAGAGGGGACATGATAGCAGTTTTCAGGTATCTAAAAAGGTGTCATAAGGAGGAGGGAGAAAACGTGTTCACCTTAGCCTCTAAGGATAGAACAAGAAGCAATGGGCTTAAACTGCAGCAAGGGAGGTCTAGGTTGGACATTAGGAAAAAGTTCCTAACTGTCAGGGGGGTTAAACACTGGAATAAATTGCCTAGGGAGATTGTGGAATCTCCATCTCCGGAGATATTTAAGAGTAGGTTAGAGAAATGTCTATCAGGGATGGTCTAGACCAGGGGTGTCAAACTCAATTGCACAGGGGGCCAAAACTCAAAACTCGCGGGCCGAACAGTATAACCATTTATTTAACAGACTAAATATATATGTTTAACCATTAATATGAACCAAAATACAGGATATCATTCCAAAATAAATACATTTCAACTTAAAATATTTTGCTCTTCATAAAAAATATCCTGTCAATACAATACATTCAAAATCTGTACATGCTGGAATATTAAAAAAATCTGAAAAATATAAAATAAAAAATTGAATTTAAAG